TAGAATGAATTAATATATGATAAAAGCATAAGAGAAGTTCAAACACAGTGCTTTGTGAAGTCCTAGGAGGAAAGATCATTACCAACTGGAAGGAGCAAAGAAGACTTCATGAAAGAGGTGATATTTGTCTTCATGGCGCCACAAAATCACATTAAAACATCACCTGGTGCCCTAAGGTCTTCATGTCTTGCTCAGGCCTTCATAATCTTTAGCAGTGCTTTCCAGTTTTCTTTTGGCAGCACCCTTCGTCCTCATGCAGGTCACCAGAAATGGGTAGTTTCATCAGATGTGACAAGCTTTGAGACTTACATCCTAGGTGTATGTATAAGGAAGACAGCATACCTGGCTATTTTTAGTCAGACTGATCATTAGCTCTTCAAGAGTAAGAGAAATAATTATTAATAACCAATAATTTGAGGAGATCTAGAGTTCTCCCCTTCTTCTAAAGTCTTCATTTTAATAAGTTCAGTCTCTTGAAGGACACTGCTGGTAATGAGACTGGACTTTCTTGTTCAAGACCCTACTCTGGTGGAGAAGCCATTGGGTTCTGCTAAGGTTTAGCTGGGGCGCAAATTCTTTGAATGGATTGCCCGAGGCTGGGGGTGGTCTGGGTATAAAAATAGTTTCTCTCTCCAAAGGTAACATGATGTCATTCTGAGCCCCACATTTTCATATAGCCCACTTTCCACTGTGTTAACCAATCAGAGGTGATTGCCAGTCCTCTTCCAAAAGAACATATAAGCCCTGAGCTTGCCCCCATGACTGTCTTTACTCTAAGAGAGATGGCCAAATGATTTTTATGAATATTTTATTAATGATCCTTTTATTAATAATATGCTGACCTTATTAATGATTCATTTACTCAGAAACTCTCTCTCAAACCTTTTCAATTGTCACATGAGGGACACTAATCACCAACAGTCATCTCTTCTTCCTCTGACCCATCTTGGGTAATCCTTCATGTGGCAGCAATTCTAGACTCACTTCATCATCCTTTGGGGCACAAGCTGTTGCTTCCTCTTCAAAGCTTCTTCCACTATGGAAAGATCCTCGTGGTTCCGACTTAGCTCGAAGTGTCCTATGCTCTTTCTTTCCTTAAATCTATGTCACACTCTTCCATCTTCCAACTTCACAACACAGGTCAGGGCTATATTTTGCCATTTGAGATCCATATTATGTTTTATTATTATGGATAGGAATTCAGCAGGCAGAGGTCAGGACCAAGAAGACATTTTAGGCAGAGAGAACAGAAAAAGTAAAAGCATGGAAGCAGTTTAAGTGAAGGGCACCGATATTGGTCAACCACAACCTGTCCATCTTGACTTCGGTGTAAAGGACATAGAAGTAAATATTGTGAGACAAGGTTAAACATACAACAGCACCAGAATTCTAGTAGAGGCATCATAAAAGAGTGGAAAGGATGCTGGATTGGGAGTGAGGGATATAAAAACTTGGCAGGAAAAGAGTGACTGGGCAGCAAGGTGGTGTCATCCATTAAGTGCTGGACTCAAAGACAGAAAGAGCTGAGTTCAAATCCTGCCTCAGACACTCACTTAGATATGTGACTTATGAAAGTCACTAAGCCTCCCTCAGCCTTAATTTCCTCATCTGTAAAACAGAGAAAATAATAGCACCTACTTCACTTAGCTATTGTGAGGATCACATAAAACAACACATCGAAAGCCTTTTGCAAACCTTAAAGTGTCTATATAAAGTCTAGACTGGAATATGGATAAGTTATTCATAAATTATTCAAAAGAAAAAGGAGAATTATAACATGGGGCTAGCATAGAATTGCATATTAATAAGGTAAATTCAGCTGGGAAAACCCTGCAACCAGAAGGGACAAGCATGGCAGAGGTTACTTAAGTGACAGTTAAGGGAGGAAGAAACAGAAATGATTTTTTTTAATCAGCATATGCTGCAGGTCACCTGTAAAGGAAAAAAATAAAGACAACAGATGAGAATTTGAGGAAACGGAGAGCAAGAGAGTCAAAGAAGGGATATGCAGGACTGCTCGTTGGAGTAGACGGGATGATGATAACTGACAACAGAGAGAAGGCAGAACTACTTAACTGTTGTTTTCATTTGGTTTCCTTTCTCCAGTGATCTTTGGACTGGAAAGAACAGAACCAAACTGAAGTCTTTAAACATTTAAAAAGTATTTTGATAACTATTTCAATGTGATTGACTTCCTTTGAAATTCTAAGTATTTTCTCTTATGGACTTAAAACATATTTCTAAAAAGGAGTCCATAGGCTTCACCAGACTTCCAAAGGGGACCATGACACAAAAAAAGGTCAAGAAACGCTTTGTAACGCAAAGGATGGATCAGTACTTGACTAGTGTGTCGTAGCAATGATTCTCACGGAAATATGGGTTGTGCCATGTATCCACCAAGATCTTTTTCTGAATAATACTGAAATGTTGTGACTTCTGTGATCTCTGTCATGGTAAGTATGTCTCAGAGAGTTTACATGAGTCTGGAAGAGGATAAGTGATATGGGGATATTCATACAATTAAGAATCTTAATAATAACAATAACAATAACATTCTACATAACTTTAAGGTTTGCAAAACACTTTACAAATATTTCATCCTCACAATAGCTCTGGGAGGCAGGTGCTATTATTATCCCCATTTTACAGATGAGGAGAATGAAACAAAAGTTAAATGACTTGCCCAGGGTCACATAGCTAGGAAGTGTCTGAGGATGGATTTGAACTCAGGACTTCTTGACATCCAGCTCCAGCACTGTACTCACTATGCCACTGCCTACAATTAGTGTCAGAGCAAGATCTGGACTTGATTCCAAGTCTAGCACTATGCTAGTTGCCTTTCAAGCATATGTATTTTTTTAAGCCTTGAATGTACCTACAATTCTACATGAGTCAGCTTCTGCTAATTCTCTGGAACCATTTGAGTTCTTCTGGTGTAAAGTAATAAAGGAGATAAAAAGCCAGAAATAGAAGTGACAAGCAAAATGATGACAAAGACATGATCTGTACGGCAGGGGATGGACCCTGTTACCTGCCCTCAATTACTTGGCACATTCTAGTATCCTCCTGACTATTTTACATTTGGCTAAGAGTTCCATAATTTCACCTTATGGTCCTTCAGAACTCTTGGAAAAATGCCACCTAGGATCAGTGGTTTATTTACATCAAGCCTGTCAATTAGGTCTAGAACACGCTGTGCCTTCATCCCTATTTGTTCTAATCCATTTGACCTTAAAATTTCCAAAACCATTTTGGGAGAGGGAATCTCTCTAACTGCTTTCTTAATAAAGGCTGAAGGAAGGAATTGATTTAGCCTCTGAGCTATCTCATCATCTCTAAAAGGTTTTGTTATGGTTTTTTGTTGGGGTTTTTTTTCGTAGCTAATGATGGTCTCACAAAGAACCAGCCTTAGGCAAAACTGGGAAGTAAAAAACTCCTCTACTCACCATGCCTTTTCTGGGACAGACCCCAAATTGCCTAGTGCCTCTCCTGCTATGGTGGAAATCAGTCTCTTAGATGAATTTATATTTAAAGTGTCGATACTCAGGGCAAGGTTTGTAAGCTCTATGTAGCTTTAAAAAAAAAAAGATGCTGATCTCCCATGCCTCATGCATGAGAATATTTTGACAGCAAAAGAGAAGACGTTCTACTCATGTCATGTTCCATTGCTTTATTGTGACATGTAGGTGACCCAGCAGAGTACAAATTCTGGCAGACCCTAACAAATGGGAATGGCTTCAACTATGGGTGATGGATTGTATAACTTTTCCCCAGTGGCCACTGTAACTGAACATGACGGAATCATAGATTTAGAGATGGAAGAGAACTTCAAGGTCAGTAAGTCCAACCACTTTCATTTTAAAGACCATCTACCAAGTCACAGAGGGTGTGCAATCTACATTACTGAAGGGAATAGCCACAACAACAAAATCAAAGATCCCTGAAGAATTGGAATATATGAAATAATTTGGTATATGAGAAAGAGCATTGAATATGGAATGAGGAGAGCTGAGTTCTGCCTCAAACTACATGACCATCAACAAGTCACTTAATCTATCTGAAACTCAGTTTTTTCATTTGAAAAATGGTTGTAATAACGCTTATCTTGGCTACTTCCAAAACAGAGATAAAAATAGTATAGGAAATGGACTGGTTTTTTTCTTCCAACTAATGCATACATTTTGCTGTCATTCACTTTTCAAAAATGAAGTAACCTCATGATTTTTGTTTTGTTTGCTTTTGTTTGCTTTTCTCTGTCACCAGAATGCAAAACATATTTATATTGGGATCATTCTACAGAAAACAGGAGTAAAACATAGCTCTCTCCTCTTAGCAGAGTGGTGGTGCACCACAGATGTAGAATGAGGCATACGTCATCAGACCTGGCCAATGTGTTGAGGGTTTTTGCTTAATTACTTCTTTGTTTTGAGATTGTTTAAAAAAAGGGAAAAAAAGAAAGACAATGAAAGAAAGAAAGAAAGAAAAGAAAAGAAGAAGCATAAATTTTAATAGTTCTCATATGGAAATCAGAATATAATTTTATTTTAATAATAATAATTATATTCATTGTTATTAATAAGAGATTATAGTAATATTTCTGGAATACTATATATTCATATAGGTATATAAATATTAACATTATATTATTAATATAACATAGCTAATATTATATATGTGATATTTAGTTAATATAATATTAATATAAATTATTGTTATTATCAGATAGAAGTCACCAGTGAAGAAGTCCCTTGAAGTCTCAACAGAATACAATTTTTAAAAAACCTGTGAATGAAGAATTCAGCCAATACTCTTTTTTTCTTCATTATCTATACTGCACACATATATACCATATTTACCCATTTATACCATAAATCATAATGAGTTCCCTTTTCTGCCTGTTTTATACATATTAAGAACCTTGGATACATGTTTTTGTCTCCTTTTTATCCATTCCCAAAATGTAGGTGAAAAGGTAAAAACTCTTTCTGCTGAAATGGGAGAAAAATGCATGGTCAGTTAATTCAGAACATGGCCCTTGATCTCCCAGGTTATTGCTAAAATGCTTCTCTGTGGCTTCCTTTGGCAGAATGTTTCGGGAATTACTTTAGAACAGATGAATTTTTTAACTTTTATTGGACAAGGAATTACTCCACATTCTGTACAACAGGGAACACATTATTCTGCCCCAGCTACATAGGGAAAATAGCATATTAAAAATAAATATCACATAGGAGAGAGATATGATTCTTGAAAGAAGTTTGGCATACAAGGATAAACACAAAAGATATGCAGGAAAGATTTATAGGGTACAGTTTACCTTTGGTCACTGGCTCAATGCATAGAGCAGGCAAAAGATACCATATTTGAAGGAAAAGAGACTCATGGCATGGCTATGGAAAGAACACTGAAACTCCTGTAAGAAAGAAATGGGTTCAGATTTTTTTCCTCAGATGTTAATAGCCATGTGACCTGGGGTAATTCATTTAACTTCACTGGGCCTCCTTTTTTTCATCTGAAAAATGAGGAGTTGAATTTAGGGTCTTCTAAAGCTCGTGCCATTTCTCCATCTATGATCCTGCAGAGTCAGAGGACCTGGATTCAAATCCTCTTTTGGATGATTCTTGCTTTGTGATCTGGAAGGATGGAATCTGTTCCAAGTCAAGAAAACAAAAGTAAGGGAACATTTTCAAGTAGAATGGGGTCAAGGAACTTTGGTGCAGGAGTTTCTCCGACACTCCCCCTTTAGTCCTCTTACACACATGCACACACATATGCACGTGCATGCACACATAATTATCAGATATTTCATTGCTTATTCGCCTATACATAAGATTAACCCCAATAACAAGCAGAGCACTTATCTGCACCAGCCTCAGACACCTGCTTTCCCTCCTTTTCCTAACAGAATGTCCTTTCTTTGTGCAAGTCTCTCCCCATCATGATATACGTCTCCTCTAGAGAGATAAGGGGATCTCAATTATTTTTGTGTCATGGACCTTTCGGGTATCTGGTGAAGCACATGGCATTTTAATCATTAAATAAAATTCATGACTTTACAAAGAAAACCAAAGGTTGATGAAAACAAAGATGTGATTCTTTTTTTCAATCCAAGGTCATGGATACCCTGAAATCCATCCAAGGAATCCTTAGGGGCCACAGACTCCAGGTTAAGAATCCCTAAGATAGACAGAGAGATAAATGGAGGAAGTGAGACAGGAGGAAAAAGATGAGAGAGACAGACAGACAGCAGGAGAAAGCATTTATTAAACCCTTATTATGTGGCAGGTGCTGGGCTAAGTACCCTAAGAATACAAATACAAAAAACAAACAGTCCCTACCCTAGGCAGCTAACACTGGGCCTGGAGTCAGGAAGACCCAAGTTCAAATCAGACATCAGACCCTTACTAGATATGTAGCCCTGGGTAAGTTAACCTTAAAGTTTATAACAGTTTCCTCAACCATCAAATGGGGATGATAATAGCACCTACCTCCCAAGGTTATTATGAGGATCAAATGAGACAATATTTGTAAAGCACTTAGCATGGTGCCTGGCACATAGTAAGTACTTAATACATGCTTGTTTCCTTCTTCTGTTCCTTCCTCCTTTCCTTCCTTCCTTCCTTCCTTCTTTCACTACCCTCAAGGAGTTTATGTCTAACAGGAGAAGATCACACACAAAGAGAAGCTGGGAATCAGTTTGGGGAAGGGAGAAAGCACAGGAAAGTGGCTATCCAAGAGAAGCTCAGAGGGTGACATGAGTTGTGAGCGTGATGAGGTAAAGCTTGGCTGGGGTCCTTCCCAAAGGATCAGATCAGGAGAGGGGAGGGGCTGTCTCAGGGCTGAGCTTTCTCCATTGTAGGAAGGAAGTTGTTGAGGAGAAGAAGAAATCCAGAGAATAAATGAGTTTCTCTGAATGGATTCTTAACTATAGGGAAGTGTAGGACAACCCACTGAGATCCTATTGGTAGCAAGAAACAGGACATAGAACTGACTAAAGCAGGTGTTCTCAAATTCATGGAATCCCAGAAATTGATCTATGGACCTCTGGTTAAGAACATCTGGAATAGAGGCTCCATTCCCCCCCAAAAAAGTTTCTATCATTATCAACGAGCTTTGCTTAGAGGCCCCAAGTTTTGACTGATCATCTATTTGTCAACCAAAAAGGAATGGGAGGCAGGCATCTTCAGGTTGTGAATCTGCCACTGTTCTATTTATAACTTTGTGCCTTTGGTCCTGCTAAGTAAAGAATGGGCTCCTTGGATTTGTTAAGCAGGTGTGTCTTTCTTCGGTATAATGACTTTTTGCAACCACCAGGTAATGTTTAACTCCTGCAGGTGGCGATCTTGAAGACTGTGTGTCTGGAGCTAAACAAGGATCTATGTAACCAGAGGGAACCTTACTTGGCAAAAGAGGGAGATAAGTTTTGGTTTCTTGTACACATGTACCAAAAATCCTAATTTGATGACTAAAATAAAAATACTTATTAAATGCCCATTCATTGGGGGATGGCTAATCAAATTGTGGTACATGAATGTAACAGAATATTATGGTGCTGTAAGGAATGATGAATGTGATGAATACAAAAAAGTATGGAAAAAATATACACAATCGGAAGCAGCATGAAGTAAACAGACCCAAGAAAACAATATCCACAATAACTACAACAATGTAATTAGAAAGAACAACTAGAAAATAATCAAAAGTGAATGTTGCAAAATTTCAAAGAATGAGCGTGACCCCAAAGAAGAAATATGAGAAGACATCCCCAACCCAACTCTCTAGAAAGGTGGGTTATGGTTGTGGTACAGACTTTTTTCATGTATTGATCAATTTTGCTGATTTTTTTTCTCTTTTTTTCCAAATATTATTTGTTGTATGGGATAGCTTTCAGGGTGAGGGGAAGAAAGAGAATACTGGAGAAATTTTGGTGATTAAAAAACAAAAGATGTCAATAAAACCTTGTTTTAAACATTTTTAGTTTAAAAACAAGACCATAGGACCTTGAGCTTGATGGAATCTTTCACTTTATAGATGATAAAACTGAGGTTCAAAGAGGTTAATTAAGTACACTGCTATGGTCACACAAGTAGTGAGTAACAGAGTCAGAATTTGAACCTAGGTCCTCTGACTCCAGTTTCAGTTTTCTTTCCACTAACCCACATGACTTTCTCCAGACTGGGAAGCCCTTGACAACAAGTTGTCTCTTTGTATCCCTAGCACTTAGCCTCATTCCTGGCACATAGAAGGCACTCAACTAATTGTTGTCTTTCATAGGATTTAATAAACATTTATTGACTGACTGAATTCCCAGGGAGCAAAACTGAGGAGACAGATGTGCACATTGTACAAGATACCCAGACAGGATAGTGGCTTACATCAAATACAGCAAAATTTTAAGATCAAGGAAAACTGTCATTAAACATCAAATCTGTATTACAAGATGCTTCCTTATTCCTAAGAATTCTTTCAATGATATTATTGTCTAGTTGGTCTCAATGAAGTTTAACTGGTGCAAATAGCCAGTCATATGGTTTAAGGTCCTCCTCTTTTAAGTATTTATGTAAGTGCTTCTCCCCACCCCCAAAGGGTTAGCTTGGAATAACTCTTAGAGCAGCATTTGTAATAAATGTATCTCTATGGGTAGATCAAAGGTTCCATTAACAACAGAACCTTCATAAATGTTCTCTTTAAGGTCTAAAAAAGTTCTTTCTTGTTCATGTTCAGTGAAATCATCCCCCTTTTGTAAAAGCCAAGAACTTCATCCACCATGAAAAGCCCAATATAAACAGCCAGTACAAATTTGTAATTCCAAGGAAGTATTATAAAGTCTTCATGGTGGGTATTGTACCATTTCAATGAGCTTACACACATTCCAGATCTATTTGTAATTTGTCTGCTCCTAAAATTAATCCCAAGAAAACTACCTAAAGCTGATTAAAGGTTTATCTCTGTGAACTGCAGTAGAGTCCCTGCACCAAAGTGCCATGAAGATGACCCTGGCGCATTAAAGTCTCCAATCAGTACGACCAAGCCAGAAATTCTTCAAGCAGAGGCCAGTGAGGGACTGTTCCTGTGGCCCAAGGACAAGACCAACTCTATTTAGTGAGGCTCATCACAGCTGGATCACACCTGGTATTAAAGTATTTGGTCCCAGTACTCTTGAAGAACATCTATTAAGATATAGGAGGACTGCAGCCTTGAGTGGTAGAGAGACGAAATCACAAATTCTGAGAAGTACCCAAGTACAATATAGAGTATTAAATAGGATTAACTCTTCCTTATAAGAATGACTGTTCAATTAGCCAATCAATCCATAAGCATTTATTAAATGCCCAGTCTATCTTAGGCATCGTGCTAAGCACTAGGGAGTATTGTTGTGTAGTTGCTTTTCAGTCACGTCCGATCCTTTGTGACCCCATTTGAGGTTTTCTCGGCAAAGATACTGGAGTGGTGTGCCATTTCCTTCTCAAGCTCATTTTACAGATGAGGAACTGAGGCAAATAGGGTTAAGTGACTTGCTTAGGGTTACACTAGAGCTAGTAAGTATCTGAGGCCAGATTTGAACTCAGGAAGATGAGTTGTCTTGACTCCAGGCCTAGCGCTCTATCCACTGAGCCACCCAGCTGTGTGAACACCAAGGATACAAATACAAAAATAAAATCATCTCTATCCTCATGGAGCTTATCAGAATCAGAAGTATTTTAATCCCAAGAAAACAGTCACTCATCATAATATATGGCATCATGGGACAAAAGAACACTAGCTCAGCAATCTGAAGACCTGAGTTGAAATCTCACCTCTGGTGCTTATTTCATCTACAGAACGAAGGAGTTAGACTAAAGGATCTTTGAAATACCTTCTAGCCCTACATCTGAGATGCCTCCAGATCGTCAGAGTGAGGGACAGGAAAGGTGGAGAGAAGAGGAATGTCTACCCTGTGTTCTCTTTGGAAATGCCATCTCCCAGAAGCCTTTACATTAGGTTAACAGCTTTCAGCACACCCAGTTTGGAAGAACTGGAATCTCAAACTAGGGGGCAACATGGGTTATGAATTTGGATAGCGGAGTCCAAGGGAGATCAGGGAAGAATAAAGATGGAAACAGCCCCTCTCCTCAGTGGCAAATAGATGACACTCATGTTAGCACTCTCAGGTGGAAGTAGTATCAAGGGGCATCAGACCAGTGCAAGTGCTACGAGGTAGAAATCGTGCCAGAAGACCCTTTCCCTCTGGTTTTCTCAGAGAAAGAAACAAGTGTCTCTGCAGTGCTTCATAGCTCCCGCTGAGTCTCCAATGTTCATCTCATCTAGTTGGATAATCTCTAATACTCTTCCTGACCTCTAGTTTAGAGTACCCTATGCCTCAGTTTCCCCATTTGTAAAATGGGGATAATAATAGCACTGACCTCCCAGAATTGTGATGAGACAACATGAGATAACATTTCAAGAACTTTTCAGAGTGTTATACAAATGTTTGCTATTGCTGTTGTCGAGCCTTCTCTAGTCAACACAAGACTATAGTTTTCCTACCTTAGAGACCAAGAAAGGAGGCATCCCTGCTGGCAATAGATACAGTCAGACAAACCCTTTCATCATACTTTTTCTAAGTCAAACTAGGTAAAATGTAGAAAGCATTTTGTAAACAAAGCACTTTTATAAATGCCACCTATTGTTATAGCTAATTTTTTATTAAATATATTACCCCAGGGTTTTCTTCTCTTGTTCAGTTAAAATACAAATCTGCTTTTTAGGTGTTAGTGTCTCAGGAAGGAGGTCTATAGAGCCGCCAAACATGTATGGGGGAGGAGAAAACCACATTACTGGAATGTCTCTCATTCCAGGCAAGAGGGTCCCTGTTTAAGAAAACTATATAGACACCTCTCCCACCCCATTCAAAATGGGAACTGTGCTGTTGTAACCATGGCAACCCAAACAGCACCACCAACACCCTCCAAATCATTGCCTCCCAGAACTGTTTGTCCTTTCTAGATTGCCAGTGGAGGGGAATGGTTTTCCACTACACAAGCTCTCCTTCCAAAAGTCTGCCTTCTGTAGCCAGCACACGCTCAGGTGCCTTTCCGGAGACCTGTTC